ACGCTTCCGGTATGTCCATTGTACACCACCGGGGTCGGAGTTCTTCTGAGAAGATGAATTGTGGCTGGTTCTGAGCATGCGCCGTAAAAACCACTCTCAAATATGTCGTCTCGTCAATACCAGTTATTGTCTATAGCCTGTTGAAGGCCAAGGAAAACCAGCAAATTCCTTTCCACGAGGCTTTCAGCTTGCCATGATTGATGGTTTTTTCCTCTCCAGCGTTTGATCTGCTAAAGTGGATATCTTCGCAGGAGGAGCTTATCCTGCTATTTTTTAGCTTGAAATGAACCAACATGAGATGCTAGTTTGAAATATCGGAAGCAAAAACGGCGCTTGTCTGAACCCAACGGGACTCAGACCTGAAGCAGTTAGTTGTTCCTTACAGCTACGGCTTTCAAATTCAAATTGAAAGCCGGCGGTCAACTGGCTTTCAAATCCTACGTCGGTTGGGTGTTGATTAGTGTTTCGCAGATACTTAGCCGCTTTAAATGCGAGTTCGCCCACATGGGTTCTGACCAAGAAAGGTTCTGCGAAGACGGGGTGCGCGACGTAGGCAGGACGAGAGCGTGGAGATCCCCGACGGAGCACTGAGCTAAGGCACACCGACTGTTCCGAATCCCACGGCGGCACCGGCTCCTTCCACGGCATGTGAATACGTAGGTACGCCAAATCCCTACCGGTTTGTGTTAGACCGTAATGAGGAAAAGCAGGCGGCAGATTATCTCCATACCTGAGATTCTCTTAAGATGCAGTTGCTAGGGAGATTGAAAATGTAATCTCAGAAGTTTGCGTACTTTGCCTTTTTTTTTTTTGCTTTTTTTATTGAGAGAAAACATTGGCGCTTTTTGTTATCAATATATGTAAGTTATTGAATGAAATGCACTACTCTCGTGAACGTCTCGTACACATTCCTTGAACTCGAAACTCTGCCCCTTTCATTCATAGACTCTCTCCGCATAATAACTCGTCGCTCCTGTAAAGCATTTTCCTTTCATAGTCTCAACTCCAAACTTAACAGCAACATGGCGTAGAGCTTGTAAAATAAGCGTCTGGTTCTTGAGCACCTTTGAGCATCCTCAACGGCATAATAGCGGTTCCTTTTGCGACCCACCGTACTTACACTCTTCGTTTCGCTATTATGAATGCGAACGTGCGATGCGATGCCCGTGTTTTCTCACGCCGGGGGTGGGCACTGCGCGAGCGCAGAAACCCGATGCTCGTGAGCTGAATGGACCGGCATGCGGATGTGACGTCACACCGCAGCGGTGGCGCCATTGGTGGAAAGGCGCATGTGCAGACGCGCATTTCCGCCAGTGGCGAAAACGCGGGCTTGTTGACAAATAGCGCTGGTGGCAACGTACTCGCGCTGATTGGATCGGGTTCGCTCGCACTTATGGTGACACAAAGTAAAGGCGCTCATGGAGCCTAAAGCCCTCGTACATTTGGTCAACAAAAATGAGGGTTACGGTACACTATAACCGGCGATTGCAATGTTGGGCCGTCACCTGACGAATTCATTCGCCCCTCTTGTCTCACCATCTACCGCTTGTCTCACATAAGTAATCGTATCAAAAAAGATATTCAGGAAAAGATTCAGGAACGAGTGTTCCTGCACATAGAGTTCAGTAGGCCATCATCTCGAAACGGCATCGAAAATAACGCGGTCTGACGGGATCACATCCGCTTCGATAATTACGAAAAAGGGCAACGACTGTAAACTCACCTCCTTGTCTCAGCGTCTTTCTATAGAACTATATAATTCTTTCTATGCACTCTCTATGAAACTACGCTCTAAAGAACTGCAATGTGCGCAACGTGGTACGACAGGTAGACCACTTGCCGCCGTGGGCCTTCGGCTGCACAACACTCAATACTGGACTTGGGTTTGTTTTCTTTTGGTGTTTTTTTTTTCCTCGACTTTCTCGGGAAGACTACGGGAAGAAGATTGTACCTATATGTACACAAAGAACTCCTGGCTCCAGGGTTTGAGCCGGAGGGGGTTAATCGGGCTTCGCTCTTTTGGCACGTGCTGTGGTGTCGTCGAGCATGGAAGCCATGGTGAGCGGGGCGTCCCCACTACTACGATGTCCCGAACGTGTCTTCCAATGGTGTGTTTAGAGCCCTATCTCGCCCATGAATCAAAAGCGCTCCCAAAGTGGCAACAAAATGACCTCTCTGGAGCCGTCGTGTTATACCAACTCCACCTAGAATGAATCAAAGACCGTAGACTAGAATTGTGACGTCATCGCAGTGAGATCGAGCGAAGACACAGATTCGAATTAAATGCTGCCTCAGCGCTCGGTTAAGCCTCGTGTCCAATCACCTTGTCGAAGGAAGTTCGGCCTCGGGCTCGGGTTGAATTGCTGAGTTGGCGCCATTCGACGGTGATGACATTTCATGGAGGAAGAGGAGGATGTTCGCAGGTCGGCACCATCGTTCTACGTGGTGCCGGTCAAGCTATTGGGTGTCGTAATTGCGGTGGTAGGTCGTGGAACATCCGGCCAATAAATACGAGCGAACGCAAGTGTCTTTGCTGTCGCGGCGTCCTAGCTCCCGGTACCTGAAGCTTTTGTGTGCTGTCTAGCTGGGAAAGCGACCCGCAGTAGTACAGGGGTGCTATGTTGCGCTTTTTGCACTCCTAGGAGACTTGGAAGAGGGAAGTGACGTCAACGACACAGCAAACGCAGATTGGATGTTGACAGAAGAAAACAAAATCGACACCCAATCTGCGTTTGCTGTGTCCTTGACGTCACTTCCTTCTCCCTAGTCTCCTGGGGGTGCAAAAAGCGCAACATAGCCCCCCAGGCCTCTGCCGTGTACAGCTCCGCTGCTGAGCCACAATCGCAACAGGCAAGACCATATCACTCTTCTATGACCTCATGAGGAGGAAATCGGGGGACCAAATTTAAGAACGCGATAAACACACCAGAGAAAGACGCGTTTTAGGCACCACACCACTACAGCGTGGCTCCCAGCCCCCGCTCCGGAAGCTAAGAGCGACCAGGGACGCTGCCCTGGTAACTGGCGGTCAGTGGCGCTCATCGATTCGGGATTGGTAGTGGAAGATGCACTTCTTCGAGTCAAGATCCGAGTGCTCCCTCTCGCAAAGCAAGGCAGAGCCGCTTTATATAAAAAGGGGTAATACGAAGAACAAGGGCGGCAGAATCTGAAGAAAAGCAAGAAACCGCTTTCCGAGAAAGCCTAATAAGATCATCCAACGTTTGGTTAAGGTGTCTACTAATGATCACAATATGACTGCGTGAAAATTGAGGTGGGTGCTTGCCGGAGTAAAACTTTTATGATTGCTTTCAAGTCAACTTCAAAATTACAAAACTAAACATATTTCATTGTCATGGTTACGTGCTCGAGTTTTACGAACACGCGAAGTACGAGATAGGGTTCAGATGAATCGATGTGTGTTGCATGCGGTAAAAAGGAAAGACTGAAAAAGAATTCAGTAAATGTAGGACCTTCTACATACCTCGCTTCCCTAGTAAAGTTTAAGCCTTATAATGAGCGGCATGTTTTAAGGTTTGTGTTTAGTCGGAGAAAAATAACTTGCTAAAAAACTGTTGTACACAAATGGGGTGTCCGAATTCGTCCTCATCTTGGCGTGCATTGCTTCATCGGATGATAGTCCGCTCCTGACTCAGCCGGCTGTATTCTTCGATTTCAATCGGGTGTCCTGAATCAGGAGCTCCTGCAACGCCCTGGTAGCGACTGAGATATCAAAAAGCAATATCAGCCATCTTTATCACAAAACTTAGCCTGTTACTTGAGTGATAATTTGGTATGCCTCACGTTCATTTGTGGCTTAAGGGGTTAGCCGCGCTCGGCCTAGCATAAACAGGAGTGGAGCGTACGCTGTTCGGTAAGACTGAAGTGCATCCTGCCCCTACCTATGGCATAAAAAAAACGCTTAGTCCTTATTCAGGATCTTACGCCCGATGTAGAAACCTTTTGCCTAGCTTCGTAAGAAAACGTATCTCAGACATCTTCACAATGGAATTGAGTGCTGCAGTAAGCAGGTGCCAATAAAGTAAGCTTGCTCTAGATTGTGAGATTCGATTGATTGGTTTGGAAGAACTCTGATTGCGAATTATAAAAAGAAATGTGTGCTGCGGGACTCGACGAGCTAGCTGCGGCAAACCGAAGAATCGAGCGGCTAAGCGTATTTGAACATGTATGCACAGATGCCTCAATGTCAATGTCTTTGCAGGAGGGTGTCATCCGTGTAAGTATGAAAACACGTGCGGCCGTCATGTCAAGTGCACTTCTTAATACGAATTCTTGGGTTGATCTGCAAAGAAAAGCGCTGATCTTCCTCAAGACATTCCCATAACTACAAAGATTTCACACCTGGTAATGAACGTTGGCACGGTTATTACGAAAGGGATGTCACCGCCGCTCAACCAGAACACTGACACCGAGGCATCTTCAGACACGCTTTTACGATGGCCCTTCACATGGCCCGTTGATGAGCGCCACTGTGCCCGGAATGCTGCCTCGACACGAGGCGGAACGCCACCCGAGGGAACCCAGGATTTCCAGTTGGGTCCAGGGATGCCACGGGGCGACTACCACGTGACCACGACGCAGCCACGGGTTCTGGGCGGCCCCGTCGGTCACTTGCGTAGGCGCCGGTGGGTCCGCCGTCATAGAACGCTCCGCGCTGTGTCGTCGTCGTAGCCGCCGTGGATTCGTTGTGGTGCAGCAGCTCTTTGTTGGGCGAAGAGGTCCCCGCCTGCATTCTAGAAGGCGGGACATCATCTTCTGTTTTGGCACCTGTTTTTTGCGGCCGTCGTGCGATCCTCCTCGGCGTACCGCGTGTTTACTTTGAAGAGGCTGCCAGGACTCCCTGCCGTTCCCGGGGAACCAGTTGCCTTTTGACCCATTGGTGCTGAGGAACCCATTGCGGAGAAAGGCGCCGCGGTGCGGTGTCTTTCTCCGAGCGGGTCCTCCCGCCGGCAGGGTCGCACACTCTTGCTTTTCTTGGGGGCTTAGTTGACGTCTGGCACCCGACGGTGCCTCGCCCCCGCACGAAGAGCCCTCAATGGCGAACCCAGGAGACTCGGGAAGCCCGCCATCTTGGAGCGCAGCTGGCTCCGCAAGCTCCGCGATCGGCGGTCAGGTGAATCCGGTTGGAGCAGCGGCGCCCGGTCCTGCTGGAGCACGGATATCTTGGGCGACGAAGCGCACACCAGCAGATCGGACGCTCCGGGAGCGACGCGGCAGAAGGCGGCTTCCAGCTGAAGCCCTTCGGGCTCTTCTTTCTCGGGGATCGGAAGCAGTGGCGTGGGACGTCGCACGTGCAAATCCCGGAACCGCTCGAACCGGGACGACGGCCGTGGAGGCTTCACCAGGGGCTTTACCAGAGGTCCCCGGACCGCGAGTGGGAGGGCGTTACCGGGACTCACACGATGCAACTGTCCACCGCGTCGACGTCGGATCTCGCTGGGTGGAGGAGGCAACGTCACGGTGGCGAGGGCAGCCGCGGCGAGAGCTTGAGGGCTCGGCTCTGGTGAGGGAATGTTCCGAGGTTCCGGAGACGCCGTAGTTCTGGGCGGCGAAGGTGATGTCTGCCGAACCGTAGGGGACGCAGTCGGCGTGCGACACGTTGGCAGCGACGTCTTTGCAGCTGGAGCCTTGATAGGCTTAGGTATTGTGTGCCGATCTGGGGAAGGCTTGGGCGCACTTGTAGCGTTCTGCGGCGACGAGCTTCTGGAGCTCGCGTCTCGAGGGATATCTAACAACGATGAAGACGACGATGGTGACGTTAACGACAAGGACGACGGCAACGAGCGCGGCAGCTTCTGAGGAGTAATTGGCGCTGCTCCCTTGGAAGTACCTGCAGGTATGCCGGAGGGACCAGGAGAGACGGAAAGCCGGTCGACTTTCGGCGGTGACTTTGGGGCGTCAGGCGGTGACCTCGGCGGTGGATGCACCAGCGCTCGGGTAACCCGCCGTCCGCACAGCTCCTGGTTTCTGACATCTTCATCGGGCGATGACACAGGCTCCTGACACCGGGGTCCTGTTATCAGCGTCACTTCTTCCGGGCTGCAGACGGGCGAGCAGGGCAGGGACTTCTCCGGTGCCTTTGTCGAGCAAGATGCCCCGGACGACGATGACGCCGACGGTTCTGCGAGCTCGGACGTGCCATCGCGATGTCTGTGGAAGCGGCACGCCTGGGCGCTGTGCCTGTAGTGGCTGGCCGGCAGTGGTTCTACGGGCCGCTCCAAGTCATGGGGTCTGAGGAAAGGCCCCGAGGTCTCGCCCAGAGCCTCACAGGGCGCGAGGAGGGCCCTGGCTCCCGGCATGACCGGCGTTGCTCGTCCGTGGGACGAGTGTTTGAGGCGCACGATCTTTGTGCGGCAGATGACGCATCGCAGGGGCAGAACCCTCTGGGACACGGCCACCTGGATGGTCTTGACGAAGCACTTGCGGCACACTACGCGATGGCCACACGGGAACGTCTGCATGCTCGCCTTGGCACTCACGCACACCACGCACTGCGAACAAAAAAAGATGGTCACGTTACAGGCCGAAAGGCTACAGCGGGACATGCTTAGAAGATTACCACTGATATGTAATATAGCAAACACAACCGTCTAAAACACGCGAGCGGTGGCAGTTTCGTACTCACAACACCTTGCAAATGTTCTTGCACTTCGTGATTACACCTTCATTTGGTCGTCTGCTAGGCACGAAGCAAACGACGCCACAGTGATTGCCGTTGCTATATTGAGTTGTATCCATGATAATATGAGAAGCAGCATAAGTATGGCCGCGACTTTCTACAAAAATAAATTAGGGTATATTGTTACTATCAAAGTTAACTACATCATAACACAGGGAACCTCTTCTTGTTTCGGTCACTTTCTAAAACAGTTGATTTTGGCGCAAGACTGTAAATTTCGAACTACTTAAAGCGTTTCTTCCGCGCTTCTCAGCTTTAGCGTCGAGCGGCGTCTTTCGGCACCAAAAAATGCGAAGGACAATCGGCCATATTGGCGCAAATGTGGCGAGCTTCATCGGGCGTCAGCGCGGGTTGTCAATTGTAAGATGCGAAGAAAAACGTACATATCCTAACAATATGCAAGTCTATATCGTATTCTGTTTTTCATCAAGGCCTTTATGTGTACTTTTAAGCGCTGGAAACTAGAACGTCATTAAAACCTGACTACAAAAGCGGCGATGATATTTCAGCCATATCCGTTTCATCCTCATTTTGGTAGAGACTTGGTTTGCTTGACAGAGTATTGTTGTTGCGCAATGGGCAGATGTATCCTGCTGTATAATGAAGCATGCTTCCGAGATTCTTGGCGAGCAATGTTCTCCTCAGGCCCCTCCAAACGCTCGTTTGGCCAGCGGAAGGAGTGAATAGCACCGCTTCTCCAGAGCTCCGCAAGACGAACCTGATACAGAGCAGGCATCAGGATCTCAAAAGTTACATTTGTGTACGTGGCGTAGAGCGTGCATTTTTGTTGCAAATGCAAAGGTTGAGCTGAGCGAGCGCGTTGAGACACGATTCAAGTGCCGCCCATCTCGTAAGCTGGCTGAGGCAGTGCTTTCTTTCACCCGGGCTTTGCTAAGATGCGGCTTCTATAGCAAGCCGGCCTTGATTATCACTGAACAATGGAAGAAATTGCCGTAAAAATTTCACTGCGGCGAAAGGGCTAAAGTCGTCAAAGTCCTGCCAATAGCAAAGGAAGTCATCTTGAGACGACTTCCAAGAAAGAAAGTGGATAGTTTGGCCAGTTGTTTAAAAGTTTTGAAATGTAATAGTGCCTTGCGTTGTATCTTTTGGTTTTTCTCTGAAAAAAAAAAAATTTGAAAGAAACGCAAATATCGACAAATGAAAACGATTGGTGAAATTAGGCACACAGAAATATAAACCAGGAGTGGACACAGTGACATGGGGTTAGAGCCGCAGACAAAACTACAAAAGTTAAGAGAACCGAAGGAAAAAAAAAGAAGGGTTGGGGGGGGGGGGGGCTTTTTTTATCAAGAAATGATATGGAGGAAACAGTCCATTCCAAAGAGGACAAGTATAATTGTCAACAACAACAAATAGCACAAGGCAGCACAACGTGTCTTCAACAGCTAAGCTAAAATGAATGCATGGTTCGCTAGCCGGCTTCTGCCCCAGACGCCCGTTATGCGTATCCGGTTCGAAATTACTTTTAATATAATAAAGAAAACAAGGTCACTGGACGCATTTACGTGTCAAAAAGCAGTCCAGCTGTATGTACGTAGTATAGTAGAAGGCTTTCAAGACGGTGAGCGTTTTCTTAAATACTAGAACAATTTCGCCTTGGGGACAGAAAAGGCAAAGGGGGGCGCGCTTACCAGGGAGCCGCGAGCCACACTTGGACTCAAAAGAGCCGCATGCGGCTCGCGTTCCCCAGTTTGGCCACCCCTGATATTGACGAATGCAGGCAAGGCCACTGGCCGTCGCGTTGTCTCTGCTCGTGCGTACAAGCCTGTGAAATTTCAAGCTTGCCAAAGCTATGTTCACGAGCAAGCTGCACGTGTTTGCGCTCACGGGAGAACAATCGGGGCGCAATTCTTGCATTTGTCTAGGGAACAACTCTCGGATTTTAACCAACCGCTTGTTTGAAAAACCAACTTCCGTTGTGCGGAGTTAAACTAGGGCAAACCAGCGTATTTTTACTACCCGGTCCGCTACCCAAGCAAGTCCGAAGATGACGATTTTCGGCCCTGTAACTAGCGCTACCCCAACAAAAACAAGCACAAGCCCCCTTTTTTTTTTGTTTTATGTCAGTCTTTCCAGGCGTATGGAGTAGCCGGATGCGTGCTTAGCAGGCCAAGAATCTCGGAGGCCATGAATGAAGATGACCATTTGTAGAAACCGTCACATGGACACTATCCCTTAAGCTATGCACACGCGCGAGTGTTTCTTTTTCTCGATCTTACTTCCTAGTAACTGTTGAGAATGTACGCGAAAATAAGTGCAAGTTTAAGAACCACTGACTCAGAACTTCTACCGAAAATGCCTTCTGATCTCAAAGTTACTGCAGTGTACCTGTTTTTTTTTTTTTTTTTGCGGGGACGATTTGTTTTTTGTTTTATTTCACCATCTCAGCGAAGTTAAATCATGTAATAAAGTTCTCTCATGACGAGAACCTGGTGTATTAAAAATGATTTGAAATAGAATTTACGCAAAACCAAATAACTATCGGAGTAATGCACAAAGTAATAGGAGCGATTTTCAAATCATCTTAGCACGTCCAGCTGCCTCGCACACTCATCGCACGTAGACAATGGCAGTTGTTTATTCATTTGCTCATTGGCGTACTCCGAAGGATTTTGTGCTCATGGATGGTTTATGCATAAATACTAACCAGATGATCCATGTTCCAAGATCTTTTCCTGGGCTGAATCTCGTAGACGACACTCCCTACTGACGTAAATAAAACGGAAAAACAAAAGTACTGACAAAATATATTAAGGGTTCACCGCAACGAAGCTAAGAGAATCCAAACTAGGAAGTCCCACACCTGTAGTCAGAGGGCTGGCGGTTTTCACCAGGGTTAGAAATTCAAGTAGAGCCTTGACCTATCAAAAGTTTATTACGCTTTTGAGTTTCATAAATGTAAATCTGGTTGACGACCCAAAAGACGCGTAAACAGACTAAAAGAATCGCGTTTTATGGTTTAAATAATGTGTATTTTCCAGCTGGAAAATGAACCTCTGCCATCCGGAAGAAGCTCTCGCTGTGTCACTGCACAAACACCAGCCAGAAAAAGTAGCTTGTATTGGTTGTACTCCGTCTCACATTATCAAGGTCGAACGGCAAGGGCTGTGCAAGCGCGATCGATTAGCCTTGGCCGCCTTGACTGGAGCACTGGCAGCTCGAGCGCTTGTGCAGCCGCCAAGGCTTCACCCAAAGCAACTAGCTCGCGCGTGTAGCATGCGCGGCTAACAATAGTTCATGCTAAAGTGATACAAAGTATAGTCTTTAGATGCTTGACATCCTAAAAGACAGGTCTTAAACGCCCGTTTTTGATGAAGGCACTGTAGGCACATGCGTTGTTTTTTGTCAGCTTTTCAATAATATTTCCCGACCGTGTTGATTATTTTCTGAGCCTTGTTTAGGCCTACCTATCAAAAGCCTAGGCGATAAAAAGTACTGTTTAAGAAACAGTGAGCCTGGAATAATAATATGTAATATTAAAGATTTACTTTTGCCAGTCAGAACCGTATGATGTGAAAGAAAACGTTTCTACGTCGTTTCAGCTTGATTCCAGACGCAGTAGACGCTACGAGCTAATGGTATACTTCGTTTCACCTTATGTTGTACCGCAGCGAAGGCTAGAAGCGCGAGCTCATAGCGTTGGCAGCCGCTCTTAAGTCACAAGAGCTTGTGCCGCCGAGATGTGTCCCAGAGCAGGGAGCTCGCGTTTGTAGCCTTTCCTGCGGTACATCACAAGGTGAAACAGAGTATAGTAATCAGACAACGTCAAAAGCGCGCCATCATGGCGCTCGTCATGTTTCTGTACGTGTTCTATCTATCATCTCTGAACCAATCATAAGCATAAAAGGACTGGTGATTTGCGCTTTTGACGCTGCTTGATTTGTCCCATTACCTGGTAGCGTCGGCTGCGTTTGGATTTAGGCTAAAACGAAGTATAGTATGTAGCCTATCGGCAAGACTGCAAAGAAACACATGCTTACTTCTTCCTCTTGACTGGTGGCTAGTTCCGGCTCATGCTCTTCCAACTTGGTGAGCAACTTGTCCTGCAAAAGAAGTAATTATGCAAATAAAATTAATTATCATCGTAAAGTGAGCGCGTCAGCGTTTGGCCGAAAAGGCCAATTATACCTATAACTTGGGGACAGCAAACATTTGCTTTATGGCTAGGCGGGCGGGAAAGCCCATAATGCAATTCGCTTTTATATCCGGCCATATAAACGATTAGGTGTCCGGGGAAAGCAAGGAGCCAACGATCGTATGACTCACTATATGCCCGCATCCCCTAATACAGTAAAACGTCTCTACTTGAAAAGTACGCGCATCATCTGTTGTGTGCATTACGAATATTGAGCTCTCATGAACTACGCATACAAATGTGCGATCTACATTTATTAGCACAATAAGCATGACACCAATGCAGTCATCACACTGAATTTGGCCTAACCACCATTATAATACTTGACACAATGTGTATATTCTTCCCAATATCGGGAAAAATATGCTCACGCACATAGTAACGTCTCAGATTTCAAATCATCTTAGCACGTCCTCCAGCTGCCTTCACACACTCATCGCACGTAGTCTTTCACCGAGCAAATAGAAATAACTTTTAAATGAAGCTTTGATAAAAAAGTTCAATGCAAGAATAAATAAAAAGTGAACTTATCTTTTTGAACAGTTTTTCTGCCATTACGATGTTCTATTTTATCTAATACTAGTTTTATAAGCTGTACGCTGTACGTACGCTGTACTTCATGGAGCGCTTAATATATTTTTGTTCGGCTGCCGGTAGTGATCAAATGTTGAACTTCTTCATTGTGCGTAGTGCAAGTTGCCTGCTTCTTGCGCGGAATGACGCCGAGGTCTGATTGTCTTTAATTGAAAGGATAGTTGGTAGACCTCATTCTTAGATGCCTTAGGGTCTACCTACTATTTTGTTTTGATCAGCCAATAAGAGCTCGGCGTTCTGACCTCATCACAAGCACTGTCCAAGAAGCAGACGAACTTTTACGCTCCGTATGACAACATCGGCGTCTCATCAGACCATTTGGCGCTAAAGTTGCTTTGATGCTCCAGACAATATACATTTTCTGAATAAACTAGAATACAGTGAAATCCTTGATGCGGGGGTGAGTTTGAGCAAAGACTGGTGAACACGTTTGCATTTCAGTGTGATTGAGTGTGTTGTGCCAATACGACCCAGAAGACAGAGGTCTGCGCATGACGTCATCTTTAGTACATCCCAACGTTACTAGATTACCTCAGTTGTGGAACTCCCGCGGAAGGGGGTACCCTCCTCACTTACTTCAGTCGGCCTCCCGTCGTTCGAAGCGCCATCTTCATTTTTGTTTATGAACTGGAACTGTGTGTTCCATAGATTTCGGTGGAGCGCCATCTAGACGCGGCGCTTCCAAACGTACGTATCCAATAGAATACCCTGCAGTTACCAAAGCAGCTCTTTGGCGCGTCAAAAGAGGGGAGGCGAGTCGTGGTGAGTGAGGAGGGTACTGCTTGTGCATGCAGCGTCTATGAAGAGTTCCGCAACTGAGCTAACCTAATAACGTTGGTAGATCCTTGACCCGCCGCAAGAGGGAAACACGCCGAAGGTCGTTGAAAGTCGCTGCCAGGCGCGTCCGTCCTGGCGTCAACGCGCGGCAGCGTCGCACTCCTTGTGAGAGGCTATGAGACGCGCTAGATGCGTGTGCCTGCTCGTGACTCCTTACGATGAGAGAACAGACTGGTGAACTGGCGCCATTTAAAACTTAGCCCTGTAGCTTCGTGTATATCTAGATTGAAGGTTTTACAATATTGGAGAGGTCTAATGTACGTACTATGTAAATGAGAAATAGTCAATCGTAACGTGCTCGGAAATATTTGGAATCAACGGTAAATAATGACGCGCCAAAAGATAGAAATTATATATGCTGACCGGACACGTTCCAGGCCTACCTCATAGATGGCGCCAGTGTGGTTTCTCGTCACCCGAAGGAAAAATCCATCAATGTAACGCTGTTTGGCAGTCAATGTTTTCTAGTGGACCGCTGACTGTGCCTGACTGTACGTCAAGCATGTCTGATTGGACAACAAGTTACTCTGACCGACAGTCAAACTCCAGTCAGACCCCGCTTGTCGGCTTTCTGATGGTTTCCTGGTGGCAGTCGGCCGCCGCGAAATGCCATCAGGATGTCCTGGTGGTGATTCTGACTGTACATCGATATAGTCTGACTGTACGTCAGAAAGCTTTGACGTGCAGACAGAAGTACGGTCAAAGGACGTAAAGTTCGTTCGGATACCACTATTTCGTCAAATCTATGAATACGAAAAGTAATCTGTGCACGAGAAAACGATTTCGGGACGTGAGCCCATAAAACCGCTGACGTTAGAGATGTGACACGCAACCGACCGACAACCTTGATCAGAAGCCCGCCGAAGCCGCTGAAGCGTCGAATGTCTTACGTTTTAGTAGAATTTCTACTCGACAAGACCCAGCCTGTTGTGAGTTCCGACAATGTAAGGCACTTTAGCGGTGTAGTTGAAGACGACAAGGTGTACTACTGGGCCGGAGACGCTCCAACGAAAGGAGGATTCTACGACGCGAAACTACTGTGCTTGGCAGGTGAGTAGACCTGAAGTACGGCGATTGATGTACGATTGCTTGGTTTAACTGCATATGCAGCCGAAGCACTTTTTAGAGCGATGCACTCATTGTCGGAACCTGAAATGCTCTTGACTCGGTCCGAGAGGTTTAGGCAAGGAAGTTTATATCTTTCTACCTGGTGTGCACGGCAAAAACGTTCCGTAAAAAAACGTAGAGCTTCTCATTAAAAGCTACGGAGAAGCATCCGTAATCTGAAATACGATTGACTTGTCCCTAAATCTAAAGTTACGATTCTTTAAACAACTAAAATTGTTTGCGACAAGCTGAAAGTTGTTTTATTTGGTTTAGACTAATAGACAACGGTTCTCACATTTTAAAGCATCATTTATTGCACTGTCGATCAACTAATGATAAACGTTCCGAAACGAGGTAGCGCTAGTTACCGCTGAACTGAAAAGCACGAGGTAAGACTTTTGTCTAGTATAATCACATTGCCGCTATCTCTTCATCTACCCATCTCCGCTCGGTCGTTTTGCTGCCGTTACGGCCGTTACTGCCGCGCTTGTTTTGTCGAGGGGTAGAGGTGCTTGGTGGTTTTTGTGCGAGCTTTCCTTGTTGTTATCAAAACGGTGAGTTTGTTCTGCTCTTTTTATTAACATTGATTGGGGACTGTCATATATACGTTCGTATTTTTGACACTTCTTTCCTCGAAAGAAACGAAACCACGGATTTGCGTCGCTTGAAACTTTCGGGTTCAATGACTGTCGCTGCTATCTCAGTTCGTGTTTGACGTTCTTCTCAGAGTTGAAAGCTGAAGTCGGGTGCTCGTTTGAACTTTTTGTCATGTCGTGAGCTCGCTGGGACCAATGGGACGCGCGGTTCGTGTTTTGTAGCGATTGGGAGGCTATTCGCGCGTGCTGGCTCGCAAGAGTTGCAGTAAAGCACGTGACAACCCATCGTCTGAGTGCGTGAGTGCGCTTTACGAGTTTCGCATCGTTCGCGCTTCCTGTAGCCTTCTCAGTTCGCCGAGGGGTCCATATCGTTTCGTCGAAATTCGTTTCGCGGCAGTACGTTTCGTGGACAACTTTTTATGGACACGTTTCGTCGACACGAACGTTTCATCGACACTCGTTACGCGATTTTCATGCTGCAGTGACGTTTCGCCACTCGTGTATCACTGAAGTGCGCGTAAACCCACACCCCCGCCTGCGTTCACAGCACTTCGCGGCGACAGTCTGCGGCTGCTCGTTACAAAAATGTTAACCCACCTAACCGACCCGTACAGGTCGCTTCGCGGCGATAGTCTCATGCAGCTTACTCCCCCCCCCCCTCGAAAAAAAGAAAAAAAAAAAAAAAAAGAAAGAAAAAAAAAAGAAGGTTAATTCGAGCTGTCGATGAAACGATCTGTCGAGGAAACGTCGTTCGATGAACTGATTCCCCATTGGTGTATCACCACTGCGTACTTCACGTTCACTGGTTGGTTAGCAGTCATAATGCAGCCGATGAATTTCTCATTTCACAGAATGCACTTGTGTCACTGTACGCTGATTCCCCCCAACCAGATGGTCTAAGATCATCGTATTGATATTCATTTTTATGCTCATAATATTCTATGTGTATATTAAAGCAATATACCTCCGCTCAATACTTGCACGGCGCCACTCAGGAGGGCACGTAATACCACTGTTCCACGGACTGCAAAATTGTGTGCATTAATCTTGGCTCCTCAGTCAGGCTGTTTGTAAGGAACATAGCCACCGTTCCTGCAGTTTCAAATTGTCTGAGATGCAAGCTCATATTTTTTTCAGGAGGCGTCTTCAACGACAATTGCTTCCTTGTCACTGAGCATCGGCCAATGTTTAAAGAGCCTATGCCATTCTTGAAGGCGGTATGCGTCTTGTTTTGAGCTTTTTACGTGTTGAATTTACCTATTCAACGGAAGCCTTGGCCACTCTCGAGTTTATGCAAATGTGAGAAAATCTTGAAATGCGTCAAGTCCACAGGATGTGTCATAGAATGACATAATCTAGATTACCCTATCATTTATCGTGCCGTAGCGCCCTTTTTCACAACTCGCACAAACATTTGAGCTGTACTGATTTTACAAAGAATTACGCTGCTGCATATTTATAATGAATTGATAACGTGGGAACACTGGTTGTCATTAGGCTGTAACTTTCAAGGCAGGGAAGCATGGTTATCTTGTATAGACCAGAACGCGGCACTGACGTCAGGCAGCTGCGGTGGCGCTGTCGGCGGCACAAATTCGCGTAAAGTGAAGCGCAGACGCTTCACTTTACGCGAATTTGGTTTTTGCGCACGCACAGTGCTCACACCTGTGTGGGCAAACGCGGACTCACTTATAAACAGGGTGTCGGTCTATAGAATGTGTGCTTGTTCAGCAGTCATTCAGGTTTAACATGTTCCAACACTACCATAGTCTGA